GTTCCTGGAGGACATGACCATGAAGACTCTGCCGATCGTGGTGCCGTGCGACGTGCAGGCCCTGATCGACGCCATGAAGAAGAAGCAGCCCCTCGTCGACACCTCCAACTACGGCATCTTCGAGTACAAGGACAAGACCCGTACGCCCCAATCGCATGCGTTGAGCGCTTGACGCGCACGGCACTCACAAGGCGCCTATAACGCGACGGACACACGACGACGCAGAGCTGCGTGACTTGGACCCGGCGATGAGTTTGACCGACGTGATGACGGCGCATGCGGACGACCCCATGTTCAAGCTCGTCTTCAAGAAGCGCACCCCGAGCGTGGGCTTCCAGGCCGGTGCGCCGCCCTCTCGCAACCCATCCGTCTGACATTCATAGTTTAGTCCCCACCATCGCAGATGAACTCACCCAAGTCCCGTCCTGTGTGTGTGTGTGTGTGTGTGTGTGTGTGTGTGTGTGTGTGTGTGTGTGTGTGTGTGTGTGTGTGTGTCTGGTCTGTGCAGATAATGGAAGCGGTGCGAAGGACATGGGCCTCCTCATCCAAACCCTCTCCGAGCTGCTCGAACAGTTCCCCAATCCTCCCGACACCCTGCCCGAGGTACACACGCACGACACGACACGACACGACACGACACGACACGACACGACACGACACGACACGACACGACACGACACGACACGACGCGACGCGACGCGACGCGACACGCGTCGAGAGGGCTGAGACTGAGGGTTCTGTGTGCGCAGGTCTCGGATTCGGAGTCGGCCGACGAGCCGCCGGCCGTTTCGCCCGAAAATTGGACGTCAGACGGCGTCGTGGAGTTCCTCGACAGCATCGGGATGGGCGCCTACCGGGACAACTTCAAGCAGTTCAACGGCAAGTCGTTCAGCCTCCTGGGCGAGGCCCACATGGAGAAGCTGGCGGGCAACGCCGCCGACGGGAAGCTCATCTACCTGCGCCTCCAGGAGGCCAAGCGGAGCGGCCGCTCCTCCGCCTACTCTTCCTCTTCCCAAGGCGCCGCTACCACGCCTCTCAAGTACGCCTTTCGTGTGTGTGTCGTGTGTCGTGTGTCGTGTGTGTCGTGTGTGTCGTGTGGTGTGATCGTGTATGTCGTATTAATTTATATTTATACGTTGGTGTGTTCAGGGGCCAGCGCTCGCTGTCGGGGTACTCGGCGACGGGGAGCCTCGTCTCGCAGGTCTCGTCTTCGGAGGAGGTGCCCACCTACCGCAAGCCGCTGCCCAGCCCGGGACCGACGGCGGCGGCCTCGCCCGAGCGGCCCTCCACGCCCGAACCCGCCAAGTCTCCGGCGTCGGCCGCCCCCGCCGAGGCCCTCAAGTCTTCGAAATTCTCGCGCAGCATGGGCGAAATTCCGCTGGTTCACATCAACGCCAGCGGCGGCCCGCCC